TTGCCAAAGAAAGCGAGAGTGCAGTAATCTAGTACTTTGTTTCAGGAAACCCTAATGTGTGCTTCTGGAAACAATTTTCTTCAAGTTAATTTTAAATTATAATATGGATACTCAAATTGCTTGATATAGTTTTTAACTCCCATTTTTTAGAAATATTTGACACAGTTTTGTAAGTACCTATAGTCAAATGATGGTCAGAAAATTAAAAATAATAAAGTGCCCCCAAGAATGCTTGCTTTTGCCACATAGCCAGTTGACATAGCCTCATAGCCAATTGCAGTGAGCTGCAAAATGGTTATTGTAGCAGCAAGTTAATACAAACGGTAGAGAACCACTGCTTATCATGGGAGTGATAGTGAAATTATTCCCCACTTTCCCCTGCCCCTTTCGTTAAAGTGTGATATTGGGCAAGTTATTTGCCTCAAAGTCTTCAACACCTCAATGTGCTTCAGTGTCCTCCTAGGTAAAATAAGAATATTAGCGTCTAACTTACATGATCATCATGGGAATTAACTAGGTTAGTATGTGTGAAGCACATAGAACGTTGCTAGGCATATACTAAGTGCCTACATGTATTTGCTACAAAGTGGTGTATATCCTCTTCAACTTAGGTAGCGCATCAATAATCATTCGAGGAGACAAGGGAGCGTCAGGAGAAGTTGGGATAGCTCCATCATCTAGGCATGTCCTCATTGGGGAACCCTCAGCAAAATATAATGGTACTGCTATCATCAGGTAAGGGCTTCATGATTTTCCTTTGCCTATGTGGGGGTTATGAAGTTTTGTTTAAATAATTAGTCCAATACATCATTCTCAATACATACCTAGTCTGCAAGCATTATTGTTTTATGTACTGGTAACACCCTGGTGGAGCATAGAAATTGAAAATCTCTTCCTATCTTGAAGTTAGATGATGGGGACGTTTCTGACTCTTAAGTGATTTGCACAACCTGTGCCAAGGAAAGCACAGGGGGTTGAGATCAGAAGATCCACATTTTCAACCCTGTTTTGTCACTAAACATATGATTTGAGAGAGTTACTTCATCTCTGCAAGCTCGTGCGCCTTAGCTGCAAAATTGTTCCTTAGAAAATTGTCAAGGTCAAACATTTTGCTTCTAAGTGTTCTAAAATCAGGGCCCATCATATAACTAAATTAGTAGGATTATAGACAAATTTGTTTTTCCCAAATTTTCTTATGAGGAATGGGAAGCAGCTGTCAATGAAAAGTAGCTGGATTTGATTTAATACTTTATCCATTATCCAAAGGTAATAGTTTATCCTTTTCCATTAGCACGTGCATGTATGAAATGTTTTCTGTTCTTTAAGGAACTTTGTTAGGCTATTTATACTTTGTACCTCATGTGTTAAGTGAAAAATCTATAAATACTTATTTTTATTCCTTTAAACCTTATGCTTTTAGTGATCAGTTTTTGCCAGTATTCTTATCAAGATAGATTTACACGAGCTCAGTACTTTGGGTTACTATCTTAGGGTTTTAAGACTTTCGGTTTATAGTTGGTAGATGAGGTCATTTAAAAGCATAATGTCCTTAAAATAAATGAAAATATGAATGGTTATCGTGGAAAGACACAGAAAATGTTTAGGAAAAGTACCTTTAGTGAAAATGTATTGAATATACATTTGTGTTGTTGTAGCCTTGTTCGTGGCCCAGGGATTTTGGGGGAGGTCACAGTGTTGTGGGGGATATTCCCTCCTTCCGTGGGGGAATTTGCGGAAACATCAGGAAAACTGACAATGCGAGATGGACAGTCTGCAGCCATTGTAGTAATACAGGTATTGACGTTGGCTGGTTTCTATTATGCCCTTTGTCGTGTGTGTGAGGGGGATGGGGGTGTGGGTAGGGATGGAGTGGAGGTTAATATTACAGAGTTTGTTGTTGTTTAAGTAATAGTTGTTTTTCTTTAAATTTTATAAATTCTACTATTAATGGCTCTTTTTGTCTTTTTCTAGGCTTTGAATGATGATATTCCCGAGGAAAAGTGTTTCTATGCGTTTCAGCTGACCGCAGTCAGCGAGGGAGGAGTTCTGAGTGAGTCCAGCAGTGCCAACATCACGATGGTGGCCAGTGATTCTCCCTATGGCCGATTTGCCTTTGCACATGAGCAAATTCGAGTGGCAGAAGAAGCACAGAGGGTATAGTGTGAAATATTTAAAATTTTAGTATCATTTTTGTTTTTGATTTTATGAGTGATCTTTAAAATGTTTCCTTGTTTCTAGTCCAGCTTTTCACAAACTGATTAATTTGCTTCTAACATCATTATTTTAACATATAGTCTATATAATTTTTAAACTTATATATAATTTGAACATAATCCTGGTAAATAGAATCTTTAATTAGAGACGATATAGTCTGATAGATTAAACATCTAAATCAAATGAGAAAACGTTGGCTAGGCGTGGTGGCTCACGCCCGTAATGCAGCATTTTGGGAGGCTGAGGCAGGAGGATTGCTTGAGGCCAGGAGTTCAAGATCAAATAAGGAGATGCTTTTCGCATAGGTTAACATCACAATCATCCGTTCCGGTGGCTATTTTGGCCTGGTGAGACTGTGGTATGAGACTGTGAGCGGAACAGCGGAAGCAGGCTTGGATTTTGTTTCTGCAGCCGGGGAGCTCCTCTTTGAAGCAGGAGAGATGGGGAAGAGTCTGCACGTTGAAATCCTTAATGATGACAGTCCTGAAGGCCCTGAGGAATTTTCTGTCGCAATTACAAAGGTGGAACTCCAGGGAAGGTAAAGGAAAAAAGGAAATTAGGAAAAAGAAAATGAGAGAGAGAGAGAAAGAGAGCACTCTACATTGTGTAGAGATTAATACCAAGCTGGAAAAGTTCTTTCCCTGCTTTTCTCCCAATTTGGGTGACATTAAGAAAGGGCATAGAAGGGAAATTATGACAAAGGCTGTTATTTTTTGCAATTTTCTAAAATATAAGTTTTCCTCCTCAAAGTTGAAAGCATATTCCTGTTGTGTGGATTCACTCTAGGCCACCAGAGAACGTGATATGGGTTTCTAATAATTTGGTGAGGCAATAGCCTAACTGTTCTCTCAGTCAAAGGTTAGCTGGTGTGGCAGAATTCGCTTCTCCTTATTTCTATACCTGTGAAAGGACTGGAACAAAGGATTCCTTTCCTTGCTATATATGAAGGCTGTATGTATTGTCTTCTCTGGGTGAATGAGGTAGATACATGACTAATAGCAATTTTAAAGTGGGGGAAAAAGTTGAGTCAAAGATATTTGGCCATTAATGTGCACCATATTTTCAATGAAGATCAGGAATTAACTATAATGAGTCCCTTTTATTCCCTGATACAGTGGGGCAGATTTGATGAGGTGGAAAATACCTTTAGCATGCTTAAATACTCACAGGTGGGGCAGCCATACAGGTACCTCTGCACAGATAACAGATAGATGGGCCTTTCAACTAGAATAGAGTTTGTATTTATAGAATCTTAAAGAAATATTTTCTGGTGCATAAAAAATTTTTACGTTTGTACTATAAATATCATGCTTTAAAAATTTTTTAAAACTGAAATATTTCACTCAGTGACTTAGATAGTGTGTATATCATCCTGCCTAGGAAAAAAACATTGTGGGCTCACATACACCTCAAATTTAAATTTCTCAAAAATGCTCCTGTGTCTGGTGGTGGGAATGAATTTTCACTCATAGTTAATACGTTAATATTTGGGCTGGTCACTAACTAATTAAATAAGTGCAATTTGATAAAAGTAGCTTATTAAATATGAGAGCATATATGTGTTATTGACTAGCACTTGGAGATTTTGCCTCTTTGCTACCTTTTTTTTTTTTTTTTTAAAAAAAAGCAAGTTTCTATTTAAGTTTAATTCTGGGAAAACAAATTTTTCCTTCCAGATAAATTTCTAGGCTTCTTTTGATCTTCAAAGGAAAGTAGTATAACTCAATGTGTTTCCCTTTTTGCCTAGTTGCTAGAAAACTTGCGGCTCTGGTGTTCAGTTATGGTGACTAGCTAATCTACGACCCATCTCAGACTACTGATAACAGTTACTCTCATTATTTGATATATCAATCCTCAACTTTCTAACTTTGTCTTATACGTAATTAACCAGCTTTCTGCCTTTCAACACTAGGTGGGATATAAATACCAGGTCAATATAATTTTGGAATTAAAGGAAGGACTAAAATGGTTTAGTGCTATTTTTTAGCGTCAGAAATTAAAAATCATTTAAAGCCCTGGAAGTCAAAATTTTTGTTTGATGGGAATAATATTAATCTACAAAAACTGCTTGTACATAAATATGTCATTATAAATGTAAACTGCCATCTATACTAAAGAATAGAGGCATTGATTTTAATTGGTTTCCACAGAAATTAAAATATTTTCTTGAATCTAGATGATTTATCTTGAAATTTTAGTGGCGTGACACTCACTATTTCTTTAAAGTAACCCTCTTAACCTAACACTGTAATTCTAAAGCCCAGCTAATATCCGAGTGCAGTAGGCCCATCACTGAGGTATTTGTTCAGCTGTCATCCCCAAAATCTCCTATTATGGTAGCTTCTTCCCAATTTCCTATCCATTGTCCAAGTTTAGTAACTTTATGTTAGTTTGAGTTTCATGCAGGTCCTGATAATTAAGAGCAGCACAGAAATCTGTTTCAAAACATCATTTCAGAAAAAAAAAAAAAGTATCTTAGTGTTGGGGATCTTTAAAAGTATTAAATACTTACTAGAACTAAGTTATAGGAGCTAAGAGGACCTTTCAATTCATGCTAAGCAATTATGTATTTCTTTTCTTTTCTTTGTCGTATTTTATTTTATTTTATTTCGTATGACTTTGCAAGAGGGTATGATTTTACCATCCGAGAAAATGGACTTCAGATAGATCAACCTCCTGAAATAGGGAACATCTCCATTGTTCGAATTGTAATAACGAAAAATGATAATGCAGAGGGCATCATTGAATTTGACCCCAAGTATACTGCCTTCGAAGGTATGTTCAGTTAGCTTACTTCTATGTAAGTTTACCAGCACTTTCTGAATTCCAAAGTATCTGAACATGACATTCAGTTTGAATTTTCATAGGTAAATTTTCTTAGTTTGTGGTGTGTGTGTGTTTACACACATATACACCTTTATATTTATTTATTTACTTATTTTGAAAATGTATTTTTGGTTACCTTTGGGTAGTCTTGAAACTTGCTGTGTATGGCAAAGCTAAATGATTTAGAAACAAAGCTAGAAAAATGATGTTTAACTTTAAGATTATTAAAATGTTTCTGTTTCAAGCATTTCAATGAAAATCTTTCTAATTTATGCATATTTAATTTCATATATGATTAGAAATCAGTGAACATTCACTTTCTGATGAATAATCATCTTTGGAATGAATATTTTACTAGACCGCAGATGCAGGTTGTATCTGAATCTTTGATCTTGCTTTCTCAAAACAGTTCCTAGTAGCAGCTCTTAGTTAATATTGCCAATTCTCCCCTTCTGTAGAAGCAAAATACAGAATACGTGGCTTTGTTCCTTCCTGGGTAGGAAGACAGGGCTTCCTTTCTAGGAAATGGCATTATTTAAGGCAGAATATGAATAAACTTTAAAAATAAACATGTCATTAATATCTTGTTGCTACAGTTAACTTGTTGGCTTCATTGCCTCTATCAAAATTCTTTGGTTATCTAGCCATTTTTAAAGTTTATCAAAAATTGCTTTAGGAGTTAGTGTATAATGACTTTATCAGGAAGACATCACTCTCTAGTTTGTGAACTTCAATCTATAGCTCGTAAAAGTCCTGTAGCATTTTTGCATCAAGAAATAAATGAGACTTCGAATTTCTTTTTGTTTACTGTTCTCTGATTCACTATTTTTGGGGAATTTTGGTCAGTGCGCATTTACTGTTGTAATGTACGGTCAATGTTATTTAGCTACAGCTAATGTGAACCCTATTAAATGATATTTTAATATGCAGAAGTTAGCATAGCTTAGGAAGAAATGAAGTTATTTTTGAAAAGAATTAAGCTGAAATTAAACATTGAGGATCCATTTTCAGATTCTCAAGGAGATTTCATAGGAACTGAAAATGTGATAGAATTGTATTTATATCTTGACTTTTAAAACATTTGTATGATATAAATAACATAAACCTCATTTACTTATATTACTGTATTTATACTTCAACTAAATGTGTAGAAGCAATCCAGAATGGTTTCCTTTTAGTACAAATATTTTAAGTGGTTTTTATGTGTGTGTGTGTGTGTGTTCATCTAACATTGTCTTAGAAAGCAAGGGTCGTTTATTTGTATGTAGCACAAAGAGGAAGAATGCTTATACTAATGATTAAATAGATTATTTAAATTTTAACTTTTACTTTTGACTATAACTTTCAACATCTGATAAACTATATTCCTCCTTAAAAAAAGGTCATGAGCTTTTCATTAACCGCTCTTTAAAATGATACATGAATAATGAAAAAATTGAGTGCTTATATTGTACCATTATATTTAATTGCCATATTTAATTTGGCTGAATTTTATAAAAGTTGCTTTATCTGGTTTACTAGTTAATTCTAAATTCTCATTACAGTGGAGGAAGACGTTGGGATGATTATGATTCCAGTGGTGAGGCTGCACGGAACTTATGGCCACGTGACAGCTGATTTCATCTCTCAGAGCTCCTCTGCCCTTCCAGGAGGTGTCGATTATATACTACATGGCAGTTCAGTCACCTTTCAGCATGGACAGAGCTTAAGTTTTATAAATATCTCTATCGTTGATGACAATGAAAGGTTAGTAATACAGGAAATAATGTGGACATACAAAAATCATGAATATTGTGTTCTTGTGTTCTAACCTTACATCTGTTTTGCACCGATAACAGAACTCTAGATAATACGTGTGCCCATTGAGAAACAATGGATAAGAGACTGTTGGGGGTAGCAGGGTAGGGAAAAGGTCTGGGAGACCATGGTGGTTGCATATGTCACCTCATTTCAGATAGAGGAAATAATAGTTTCTGTTTCTCTAGACTTAAAAAGTCTAATCGGAATGTGGAAACATCCTTCAATTCACTTCCTTAATGCATTAAGCAATTAGAAAGAGGGCAGGAAAGTCTAATAACTGCCCTAGGTTATGTAATATTGACGTTGCTCATTCATGCTTTTAGCTGAACACCCTCTTCTTACCACTTGGTGTGTGACTACTGTGCCTTGAATATGTATGACCAATTTGGAAAATGACTAGTTATTTGGATTTTACAAGCACTTTAATATGTTTAGACTAACAGAATTGCTCCTTCTTGCTATGCAGTGAATTTGAGGAGCCCATTGAAATTCTGCTCACTGGCGCTACTGGAGGAGCGGTCCTTGGGCGCCACCTAGTGAGCATAATCACGATTGCCAAGAATGACTCTCCTTTTGGCGTTGTAAGATTTCTCAATCAAAGCAAAATTTCTGTCCCTAACCCCAATTCCACATTGATTTTATCTTTGATGCTGGAGCGGACCGGAGGACTCCTGGGAGACATTCAGGTAGAGTTATTTTTCCCATGATTTTAAAAATAATTTTTGATAGACTGAGTATGGTGTTGGATTTTCTTAGTCCCCAAATATGTTTATTTATTCACAATCAATAAGTATTTATTAATTACTTTGTAAGTGTAAAGCAGCTCTGAGTCCAATGAAGTACATAAAAATGTGCAAGGCATACATATGACTTCAGGGAACTCTTGAGGGCATGTTATAAATTAGGTGAATGATTCTGGTAAAATTCATCAATTCAATAAGTGTTTGTTGAGTGCTTTCTATGTGCCAGACCCTGTTCTAAATACTGAGAACACACTGGGGGACTAGACAGACCTCATCTCTGTTTTCATAGAGTTTTCATTTTAGTAAGCAGAGTTGAACAATAAACAGTTAAATAAGTACAAAGAAAATCATCTGATCACAAGGGCTCTGCTTGTAAAATTGGAAGACACCATTGCGAGTGGTCTGGTGGGTGTTGAGGGTGTGCGATTTAAGCTGAAAGCTGAATTTTGAGAAAGCGGTTAGAGGGGTGAGCATTTAAGAATGTCACGCTTGAGGTATGGAGAGGCCCATGTGGTCGGGGGCCTCCAGGTGAGGAGATGATAGCACGGGAGAGCGCAGAGGGCTCAACAGGGGTTTGACCACACAGAACCTCCTAAGCCGGTTTAAAGATTTCATTCCAAGTTCAAATAGGATGCTATTAGAGAGTTGTAAGCCGGGGAATGATGTCACCAGATTGTCATTTAAACAGCTCATTTGTGTCTGTTTTGAAGAAAATGGATTGTGGAGAATCCACTGCCCGAAGCAGGGGAGCAGGGAGAATGCTTAGGAGGCTGCTGCCCTCCACCGTAAGGGTCGAAGCTGACGGTGACTCAGGCAAGGTGGTGGAGATAGAGATGGCGAGAAGTGGGCAGACACTGAGTGTGTTTTGGAGGAAAAATTAACCTGGCTAGGTGGAGACTAAGGGAAAAAGGAATCAAGGGTAACTCCTAGAATTATTGTTTGAGCAGCTGGATAGATTGTAGGGCTGTTTTGATGAGATGCAGAAGTTGGGGGGAAATCAAAAGTTCTGTTTTGGCCACGTGCAATGGAGGTACTACTAGACATCCCAGTGGAGGAGTCAAGTAAGCAGGGGAATGTAACGTGCGAGTGAGCGTTGTGGGGGCCGCAGACACAGACACACAAGGTGTTGTCACATGGGGAAGCCTCTGAAACTGTGGGACCCGAGGAGTATGGATAGAGATGTGAGAATGCAGAGCCGGGCCCTGGACTCCCGGCATTTAGGGATCAGAGGAGGGAGAGCCGGTAAAGAAGACAGAGAAGTAAAGGAGGAGGAAAACTAGGAAAGCATCTGTCATGTAGTATCATGTAAGCCAAGAAAGACAGGACAGTGTTTCAAGAAGGAAGTGGTGAGCTGGGTCCAATGAGGATGAAAGATCAAGTAAGAAGTGAAACAAAGTGCTCAGTTTTCTTTCTTCATGACATAGGGATTCAATTTTAAATTATAGAAACTTAAAATATGTAGTTTATATTTGCAAATATTGTTGTTTTTTAAAAAATGAGTTTATCAAACAGGGATTTGCTGAAGATATCCAGAAGAGTTTTCATATATATATATATATATATGTATATATTTTTTTTTCTTAATACTACATACTCGGCATGATTCTTTGCTTAAAACTGATCATTTCTATTAAAAAAATAAAACACAAAAACACCCTGCAGGTGAACTGGGAGATAGTAGGACCCAATTCTCAGGAAGCCTTACCACCACAGAACAGAGACATTGCAGACCCAGTGAGCGGGTTCTTCTACTTTGGAGAAGGAGAAGGTGGAGTGAGAACTATAATTCTGACAATCTATCCTCATGAAGAAATTGAAGTGGAAGAAACTTTCATTATTAAACTTAAACTTGCAAAAGGAGAAGCTAAATTAGACTCCAGAGCTAAAGATGTTACATTGACAGTAAGTCTGGCTTTATGTTTCTCACAAAATTTTGGGTTTAATGGATTAGTCGGAAAATACATTTACATTTGCCAAAATTCTGTGTATTCATGATGAATTGAAAATTATAAAACCAAATGAAGTCATAATAATTCTGATGGGTCAAACATTCTGGTTTTTATGTTCATTACATGGCCTGATTATTGGTAATATTTTTAAAAAACGTTTTTAATATAGTGACAAAAACTTATTTTACAATCTTTGAGAAGACTCGATGTTTTTAGAATATTTGGCACTGTTAGAGAGGAGGTATTTGTTATATCATCCTAAACATTGGATGTCTTTGTCATCGAAACACATAAAAATTATTAACTGGTTATAAGTCAGCTTATTTGAAGGGAAATTATTATTTGATCAAATAGCACAATGATATGGGTGGATCAGACCTGAATTCAGTGTATTTGACATAAACTACCCAGTCCATCGGGGCAGAAAGTGCTGGGGACCAAGGCCACTGAAGATAATGCAGAGAGATGGCACAGCATTGTTACGTTTGGAAAATACTCTTGTTTGGAGTCTATGGCAGTCAGGGTTTTCCAGAGAAACAGAATTAATAGAATAGAATAGAGAGAGAGAGAGAGAGAGAGAGAGATAGAGAGAGAGAAAATAGACAGACAGAAAGAATTTAAGGAATAGACTCACATGATTGTGGGGCCTGGCAAGTCCAAATCCATGGAATGGGCTGTCAGGCAGGAAACTCAGGAAAGAGTTGAAGTTGTGGTCTTGAGTTTGAATTTTGTGGGGCTGTCAGATAGGTAGAAACTCAGCAGGATTCCTGAGTCACAGTCTTGAGGTAAAATTCCTTTTTCTCCAGGAAATCTCTATTTTAGCTCTTAAGGCCTTCAACTGTTTAGATGAGGCCCACCACATTCTCAGGCGTAAACTCCTTCACTTAGAGTCAACTGACCGTAAATGTTAATCATGTCTACAAGATACCTTCACAGCAACACCTAGACTAGTGTTTGGCCAAACAACCGGGCACCATAGCCTTGCCAATTTGCATGTAATGAACCATCACGGGGCTTTTTTGCCTCTCTCCATGTTATATCATAGCTAGTAGAAGGAAATTAGCTAAAATTAACTGGTTAAATGTAGCAAATACGAGATGAATAGGGCGAAACTCAGGCATCAAAGTACTATCCTTTTGGGATTCTACAAATTATAGATGTCTGGACACTTATTCCCATTATATCTGAGGAATAAGAACCTACTTGTTCTAGACAGCAGTCAGTGTGGTAAAGAAGTTTTTAAAAAATGAGGTAGCTAGGTAGATTATATTCAAGTGTCATTTCTGTGTTTCTTTCCCCACTTTATCTGTGTATTAATATGTCGGATACTATAATTTCTTCCATGGTTCTATATATTAATTACTCTGCTCTCTGTTTATGTTTTTTAGATACAAAAGTTTGGTGATCCAAATGGAGTTGTGCAGTT